GCTCTGAGATATTTACACCATAGTGTGAAATTAACCTGGAGTCTCAGCTTCCCTTGTGAATGGAGGTCCCTCTCTTTGAGAAATGGCAGTTGGTGAGCAGGTGCGGGGAAGGAGCAGCTGACTCCTGGTAATACCACGGAGGCTCGTGAGGCAGCCCTGGCCGGCTGCTGCCCATGTCAGCCATGCAGAACGTTTCTCTACTGAATGTGCATCTGATTCACCCAAGGATAAGGAAGATGGGAAGAAAACCAAATGGTTCCCATTGGCCTGGGGGCTCAGGCCCTGACCCAGACACCCGTCAGCATGCAGTCTCACAAGATATTTTAGGCAATAGCTTAGCCAGTTGATATTTCTTTGGATTCTATAAATTATGAGTGCTGTTATTTGAGATGTTTAATTTTTGGCAAATCCATTTGGTGATATTTGGTGACCTTTTACTTAGATAGAAAACGGTGCCTAGGATGGAGTGTGGTGCCAAGGAGAATGAGCACTGTGCCTGTGTCCGAGGACCCGGCGGCAGCCCATCCCCACTATCCCAGGCTGGTGTCCACTCAGACGTGTCGCAGGGGCGCTGGGCGCTCAGTGTACCAGACGCTCACTTTGATTCCCGGGTCTGCTGCAACTTGTTGCAGGGCCTGGCTCTTCCAAGGTCCTCGCTGGACTGGAGAGAGTGTGCGGACAGCTGCCCGTCCCTCGGTGCCACAGCTGGTGCTGAGGCTGGGCAGAGAGTCTGGAGGGTGGTGCCGGGACAGCAGCCACGGGGAACAGGGCTCGGCGGTCATGGGGCTACGCGGTGTGATCGGCTTTAATTGTCTGGGGGTGTGAGCTCTGAACCCAGCCTCATTGCTGTTAGAATATGACCCAAAGGCTTCTGCAGGAAATGGGTCACTATGCCTTTTCCTTCTTAGATACTCCCTAACTGCTGAACATGACCTATTCCTGAGAACCAGCAACTTCTCTTCTTGTGCTAGAATGCATTTCCTGCACAGCACCTCACCTCTCTGATGCCCCTCTACTCTCTTAGGGTGAATAACCTTGGCCTGATTAAACCACCTTTTGAGGATCATAGAAGTTGTTTCCTAGTGACTATAAAACAAGTTGGGTTTGTACAGCAGCTTCCCTTCAGTGTGGAAGGCCGTGCGCTTTACGCATGGGGTGCATGACCAGGGGTGGTGCCCTTTGCCTTCCTGGTAGCCATAAAAACAAGGTGCAGGCTTTCTCTTCATTGTAGACAGCGCACCTCCAAAATGGTCCTGGAGAAGTTCTTATTATTAAATCAAAGTCGGAAGGAGGATGTTAATATGTACTTATATAAAATTTGCTTTGAACACATTTGAGAATTGAAAAGGAGAAGCAAATGTTAATCAGAGGAACTGAGCATTAAAATGAACCTTAATCATTCAGTTCACCCACATGTGCAGGGGTACGTGTAGTGGATATAGGGTTTGGGGGCAAGTATGCGCCCTGCCCCCTGGCTGTCCGTGGACTCAGAGCTCGTCCCCTAACCTCTATGAACTTTATTTCCTGGTCTGCAGAGTCTGCAGCACCTGACTGCTGTGGTGCCAAACGAGAGAGGTGACCTAAAAGTGTACTGAAAACTCTAAAACCATTTGCAAAGATGAGGTGATGCGTTCTCTGCATCTGCCTGCGGGTGTTGTCCGAGCGGTTGGCACCCCTTGGCTTGGCTGGGGCCCTTTCTGCCTGTCAGGCCTTTATCATTGTGCTCCGTCTCCAGCCACCTCCGGTCCTCTAGGTGACATTTCACGGTTCCTGTGTGCTAAGCAGGCTGGAACATCGGCCAACAGTGCCTGGTCGGGAATGCACTCCTGTCTGTGCCACTTGACACCCATCTAGCTCTGGGCCAATTTCAGAGGCATGGCACCAGTGGCAAAATTAGCTATTGTTCCTTTTGAATTAGACTCTGGTATGTTGTTATCAGTGTGAGGAAAGGAAGAATAAATAGCTTCTGACACGACTGAAATTTCGACTAGGAAAGGGCCTGAAACGTCCAACGGCCAGCCTGGCCGTCTCCTTTGCGCCTTCTCTTCTGAGGGGGTTGAGGCCCACTCGTGGGAGGGCATAGGCGACTGTGCCCAGCGCTCCTCTGAAGACTTCTCTGGGTCTTATTTTTTTCATATTTAAAATAAAAGAGAAGGACCAAGACCATTGATTTTCCGTCTTTGTAAGAAAACTTCACAGTGGAGAAATCTGATGGGCCCACCCACCGAGTGATCAAGGTCCCTGTCAGCGGTGAGAAAGTGCTGTGGATATGACGAGGCTCCAGTACAGTGAAGGGGGTCCTCATCTCTCTGGCATTGCTCCCCCGAATCCACAGCCCCTGTTCTTTCATGAGAAAATATTGAGCACACCCAGATTGAGAGGCGTTCTACGAAATACCTAGTCAGTGTTCTTCAAAAGCGTCTGGGTCATGAGAAATCAGGAAAGTTTGAGAAACTGTCCAGTCTGGAGGAGACTGGGAGACGTATGGGTCAATGCAGCGTGCTGCCCTGAACTGGGCCCCGGACATCAGTGGGAACGCTGCTGAAATACAAATAAAGTCTGTAGTTAATAGTGTCATCTGAGTGTCAGTCTTAGTTCGTGGATGCACCATGGTTAGGTAAGATGTTTACCTGGAATCATATATGGACCTCTTCGACCATCTTGATGACTTTCCTGTAAACCAAAAAGTATTGCAAAATAAAAAGTTAAAAGAAACAGTTTTTCCTCAGTGGACTATTGTGAGGAACCCCAGTCTCAGGGTCCAGGGCAGGGCCTGGGAGCAGGACAGAGAACAGGGTCAGTGAATGTAAGGAGGCCAAGGGACTGAGCAGCCGCGATGGGAAGTTTGTCCCCAGTGGCTGAGATGCCCGAGGACAGTGATGGGGCTGCCCTGTAGACAGATGAGCCAAGGGAATCGGGTGCAGGAGAGGACAGACTCCTCTTCTGAGGGCTAGGATGGTCTGAGGACTTGAACTGCAAAGACGCTGCAGGCTGTAGGGAGGAGGGGGGGAGCAAGTCTGGAGAAGGCGATGAGGAGCAAGCCGCAGCCAGCCCCTGGGGGGCGGCTGGGAGGCCGTCCCGGAGGTAGAGGCGTGCAGTGGGCCACCTGCTCACACGCACGAAGTGTGTGTGCCTCTGACCCAGCAGGCCGCATCTGGACGTTCACCCTAAGGGTGTAAGATCGGAGGTCCGGTCTGTCCTGCCACCAGACTCCGTCTGTGTTACAACTTACAGCAGCATGTGGCAAGTCTGTGACTGAGACCGAGTTCCATTTTATTTTTTTTTATGTTTTACAGATTTTCTGATAAGCATGTTTGAATACAAAAAAATTAAAATTATTTTAAGAATAAAATATATCCCTACTGGTTGCAGAAGAGCTCACAGGTCAACATTATTCTAGGTCCCCGGATGGACAGAAATCCTTTGAGCCACCGTCCATGATTTTATGACTTCAAACTACTTTTTGGTTTCCTTTGTAACCCTCTATAAGGACTTGGTAAATGTTTTTGCTGATTTATTTAAAAACATTCTGGCCCACAGGGAAATCAGATGCCTAGGTATCAGTTACCAAATACAAAAATTAAATACTGTCTAACTTTGGGCTTCTAACTTTTCAAAATGATATACCTTGAACCAAAACGTTCAGTTTATTTTCACAGATTTGAGCCTGACGTCTGAATTCATGACTAGCAGCTGCTGTGTATTCTCACAGTCACAAAAAATAAGTGAAAATGAAAACTGGGTTTCAAAGCAAGTGTTGAATACAGTACCTACAACATGTGCGGATCACATCCTACTTTAAAATGGACAACCGGTGGAATTCTTGTGGGCAAAGGCCGTGGTCCCTCTGACCTCCTCCAGCTGTTGTATTTAAGTCTGATTCCTGGTGGCCTCTTACGTCCCACAGCTGTCATCCACACCAGCCGTCTCTTGTAACTTTTCATTCTAGTTCATTTTTCTCTCTGCCCCAGTTTTCAGATTCCCTGGGTTGCTGCTGCCCGCAGTTTAACGTCTCCAATCAACTCCTCTAACAGCTTCTCAAATTTCTTCTCCAGTGACTGTCGGCTTCCCCAGCTGCTCTTGAACCTCTTTTTCATCTCACTTGCCAAAATGTCAGGGTCTTCAGAACAGCTTCAGTCAAATTTTTTGGCTCCTGAGTTCAATTTAACTGAAGTGCTTATTAGCAAAAATATTTCTGTGTTAATTATACCGGTGGAAAACCCTGATGCAGATATGCCTAGGAGCATATATCTATAATAGAACAAATATTTTCATGCTATGTCAGTGAATTGGCAGAGTCTCATGAACTTCAAAATACCTGAAATCAAAGCAGAATTGTCAGGTAAGATGTTAAATGGGGCCGATCTGCAGCAGTTTGATTGCATTTGTTTATGCTGTGTGGATTAGTGTTGGATCTTGCAAGTATCGATGGAAATTATATATTTCCAGTGGCAGTATTTTTCATCACAGACTAAATATTCTATTTTTATTGCTATTTACTATTGAGGTTTTTGAAAAGCAGCTGCTGTCTGCGTTGAGTTGGTGTGCATTTCTGGTTGTTCATAGGGTGTACCCAACACCTGCTCTTTACAGTTCACTGACTGGTATAACTGGAGATACTGCTACCTACTAATTTTGTGTGGAGCAAGGGAAATGCCACCCTATGCCCCCGACTGCCCACAGTGAGACAGCATGAGGAAGGATTAAAAAAACAAAACAAAACACCTTGATGAAAATGTGCTTTTTTCTCAGAGGAAGAAAAGTAAGAAGATAAAAATTCTCCTAGTTGTCCTGCAATCTCAGAAGCTAGTGTGCATAATGTTGGCATGACTTCCTGTATAATAAAGCATGACTATACTTTTACCAAAATCGGCCCTAGATTCTCTCCAAATTAGTCAACTTGACTGCATTCCAGTAACTCCCTCAGTGAGAGACCTTACATCCGAACCTCCTGGTATGTAAGTCAGTTTATTAATATCTGGATTTTTCCTTCTGTTTAGCATCTCTCGAGAACCTCTGCAAGAATGAAGTGGTTCCGGTTCCTGGTAAGAGAGTGAATCACTGATGAGCATTTGTGGGACATTGTGATGCAGGCGGGTGATGGCTCTGTGCCCACTTTTCCCATTTGTGGGCTCCCATTGAAATGTCCCCTTGCTTCACTCACCGCCCCCGCCCTCGGTGCCCGCCCACCTTTCCATGGACTGGTGGCCTTCCACTTGTGTCGTCTGACAAACTGCTCACCTCTCGTGGCTGCGCACTGACCCCTCTAAGCCGCATTGTGTGTGGCACAGTTTCTAGGCCCGTTGGCACACGATGGTCGGATACACTGCTTTGTGGCGCTGTCAGCGACAGTTCGGTTCAGGCGGGCTTCTCATCATTCAGTCATGCAGTTATTTTCATATTTTGACTGCATTTACCTTTATAATATTTTGTAGGGAAAAAAAAAGTAGAGAAGAGAAAAAAATAAAGCTCTTGAAACTTGTGATAAGAAGTCCAGGTTTCAGAGAGGAGACTGCAGACAAATAGGTGCCATGATGCCAATGTCGCAGCCCTTTATACGGGCCTGTTGGCTTATGGGCTCAGCCCTGAAAGAGGGCGTAGAGGGCATGTACGCAGGGCCATGAAAATCTCAGTGGCAATTGCATTTAAAAGGCATAGAGAACTCAGAGGTTTTGGAGATCCAGTTTATTGTATATGGATATAGGACCCATTATTTTACTTTTTAGTAATATTCAATGTGATTTTAAATTACATCTTATGGTACTATCTTATTCATGTAAACATACTTTAATATCTTAATTCTGTTTTTAATTTTGAATATTTGAATTTTATATGATTCTGGGAGGCTTTATATGCGGGACTAGGGCCAGCTGCTTCGTTCGTTATTGATTCTGTTATTCTCTCACTTGTCAAATATTCTCCGAGTTCTTCCATGTGCTGGGCTGAGCTGGCATTTGAGAAACAAAGATTAGTAAGGCGGTCACTGCCTGCATGTTGCCTGGTGGACAGGCAGGCTTTGCTCAGAGAAGCATGGCTGGCTGCCTGCAGGAGTGGGTGCTTAGCTAGTGCCGAGCAGCGAGTTCTGGGGCTCACGGAGGCAGCTCCCACCCTTGCAGCCCTCGCAGCCCCTGCCCCTCACTCGGCATTTACTCCTGTGCTACCTTGTAATGGTTTTGAGGTTTTCTTCTATAATTGTGCCCCCTCCATTTTTCACTATTTAACTTTTATATGATCATAATGAGCATCATATCATGTACATCTCAACCTTTCCAGCCCACGGTATGCTTCCATTCACTTTTCCCTGTGATCCTACATTTTTAAAGACCCATACTTTACTCCTGTTTTTGAGAAAGGCATAACTGAAACTCAGAAAGTGAGGTGACTTGTCCAAGATGGTTCTGAAGTAGGTGGAGGAGCCGGGGCTCGCATGTTGCTCCGTCATTCTTCAAAAACAGAACAGACTGCCAGTTCTGTGCTGGAGACAGGGGGGCATCAGTGTCTCTGTTCTAAACAAGGGCAGGTGTACAGGGCTTTGGGCGCAGACGGATAGAGACACACAGGTTTGTACTGGACATGCTAGAAGCTTCCTGAGCAGGAAACAGCTGCCTGTGCCCAGGAGAGAGGCTGCAGGGGTTTACAGACCTCATAAGGGCGGAGATGGCTCAGTGGATTGCGGGGGCCCGGTGGGAAGCTGCCCAGCTGGAGGTGCTGAGGGGCGCTGGGCAAAGGGGCGGTGAGCATGGGCCGATGCTGGTGGTGCACTGGGAGGGGCGCAGCTGGGAGAGGGGGAAGGTGGAAACACAGACACCGGCAGCCCTGCAGGCCCTGTGTGCGGGCACCGGGGAGCAGGCTCCGCCGAGCCGTGGTGAGGGCACCCCCCCCACTCAGGGGCTTCCCACCATCAGTGAGCAGCCTGACCGCCGCGCCCCGTGGGGTTGGAGTGACTCCTCGTGGCGGTGACTCGGTGACTTACTCAGGCCGCGATTTTCCACACTCGGCCCTTGAGTTTGCTCTGGGGTTGGGGGAGTGAGGAGCAGGTTCCATCAGACATTAGCCACGTAGGCCCAGAGGGCGGCAGGCCACCCACCTCAGCCCTTCGGTCAGAACTAGACCCCCACCCCGACCGCCGCCCCTGCAGGCTGGCACTCTGCCCCAGGGAGGGGGCACAGCCTTGGTCTGCTGGCCGTCACTGCTGTGCCCTTGCGTGTCCTCCTTAGGATCTGGCCCTTATCCTGTGGATGGTGTTAAAGCAGGGAGATGATGCGACTCAGTCTATGTGGGAAGATGGTCACTCTGCCATCAGGGCACAGAGGCGGAGCCGCGGAGCACCCCCTGCACCACAGCTTTCTGTCAGGTGTGCGGGCGGGGCCAGGCGGGGCTGCCGGGGCAGGACAGACCTCTGGGAGGGCAACAAGCTTGGCCACAGGATGGAGGTGCCAGTGGCGATGGCGATGAGGCTGGCGGTGGGGTTTCTGGATTGGGGTCCAGGCGTGGCTTCTGCAGACCAGAGGAAGCGTAGGCTTGGAGGGATGGTAGCAGGCAGATGGCGCGGTCAGGGACCCTGCTTCTCGCAGGTTCTGTGGGGCCTCTTGCTGAAGATGCCCTCCCACATGTTATTTCCCGTGGTGCTTCGGCAGTTCAGGGGGAGCCCTGGATTCCCTGGGCCAAACGGTGCTCCTGAGAGCAGGGGAGGTCGGGGCAGGTTGGTGAGCACACGACGGCCCGCCCGCACCCTCCCGGCTGTTCCGGGTGTCGGAGCCTCTTCTGGAGGGAGGTGCCTCTGGACCGCCCTGCCCTGAGTCCTTTCATGCTGCTGGAAGCGCCTTCCTCAGGACTCCCGAAGGGAAGAGTCTTTCCTATGGATTTTCACTTTTTAAGCAACTAACAGATTGTATCTGTTTAACTGATACTTGGCACATCTTTTATCCTTGCTTCTCCTGGGGTCCCTGGTACTCTACTGTCCTGCCTATTTTATGCTCGTTTGAGATCTCATTGCCAAATGAGACTGCAAGTGATAATATATATAAAAGCGCATTGTAAATGCAATACCCTAAGTGAAAATTGTTTTTATTACTGTTATCACTGTCACCATGAAATCAATGACACAGTAACAGCGTTTCTCATTTTATGATTTATTGCACATTGGTTAGATGGCTGCCGTGTTTATTGGTGATTGTGTTTTATTTCGTTTACTGAAAACAAGAAAAAGAACCGCATGACATTCTAGAAGGCAAACATTCCCCTTTGCTACTGGAGACCAGTGACAACGGAGGACCGCAGAGGGGCAGCAGTGGGGCCTCAGGCGCGAGAACCACCACCAAGACGATCAGGAGAAAAGTCAGAGGAACAGCGACCCCTGGACAGCCACCCCGGGGACGAGCACCCGCAGAGCAAATGAAATGCCACGAAAACAACGTCAGCCGGGGTGCGGCGAGCAACAGTCAGAAGCTGGAAGGATCAGAAGGCGAATGAAAGTACAATTAGATGTTATTTTTCACATCATGCCAAAGACGCATGTTAGTAGAATCTTAAAACTGTGAATTTCGTATATTGGTGGACAGACATAAAGTTTTAAAAAATGGTTAAGACTAAATCCATCTGGGATTCCTTCCTCTGTTCCCTGAGTGAGAGGCTGGGAGACGAGGGATGTGGTCAGTGACACGTCGTGTATTATCTCTGCTCAGCTTTCCCTTAGATCATCAGCCCAAATCTGGCATCCAGTGACCCAGCCATCCTGAGAATGACACATTGCTGCAGAGTTACCTGCAAGTTCTTTTTCCTATTTAATGTGCATGAAGGCATCTGATGATAATTTTACATATTACATGCAAACATATACATAATATATGCATATATATATATGCACCTTATATGTCAGAAATACACAGTAGAACCACATGGGATGGTATGTTCTTGGTGACTAAGAGAATGGATGCCCGAGTCAGATCACACAAGTTTGGCTCTCCACTCGTTAATGCGTGAGCTAGGCCTGTGCCTCAATTTACCCATCCATAAATTGGGGCTCCTAATACCTACTTCATAGGTTGTTGGGGCAACTTAAAGCAATAACGCTATCATGAAGCTCTTTCAATGGCTCTGAACACATAGAAGGCACTAAAGAGCATTACCTATTACTCTCATCTCATTTTCATTGTCTTTTTTTTATTAAATGAGAGAAGGCAAGCAGATTATTCTACCTAGAGCTTCTGCTAAGATTATTACTCTGACTTTGAGGGTAATAGCTCCATGGCTGCTAGAGCAAAAATGGCATCAAGGATTTGGGGATTGCCAAGGTCTGGTTAAAATCAAACCACTTCCTCACCATCTGCTAGTTATACGATGTTGGCATGTGGAGGGAGAAAGGAAAGATACTAATTTACCGTATTCATGGTTTCTTGACATTAGGCTTAACCATATAGCATTTGTCACCTTAAGGAGAATGTTGTGATCAAATGGAGACTGTCTCCATCTCCTCTTTAGCTTTATTTTAGTTAATAGGTTTCTGGTGAAGAGCCCATTGATTTTGAGCTAACTCCAATTTTAGTACATATTTTGGTGTTTGAGAAGAACCTGAGAGTGGCATTTCCCAACCCTCTGTCCCTGCATCCTGGTGCATGCCCCTGAGGAGGGGGGATGGATGAGGGGGAAGCCTCCGTCTGGTGCAGGCGCACTGTTCCTGACTTGTGGTCTTGAACATTCCCTCGTCCTTTCTGAACATCATTTGTCCTCTGTAAGATGAGCATGATAATGTTAGGGCCGGAGCAGATCTGCAGACCACAGAGTTCACAGGACCATGACGTGTCTGCAGGGCCTGGGAGGCTGGTCAGAAGTCACACGTGACCTGTAGCTTGTGGGCAGCAGGGGCAGGACTTGAACTCATATTTTCCTTTCTTCCTTAAAAACCACTAGTTCCACATCCACTATAATGCTCAACCTGACTTAGTACAGAATTATTGTATGCATCAAATGAAGGCAAACTCTCGGAACTTCATAGCACTCTACTGGGGTAAGAGAGATTCATTTTATTTTAATGGGCATGTAAATGCTGCTTCATTTAAAACATGGCATCTGAATGATGTCCATGTCCCTATTTAAGAGTGGTCTCGGTGCCAGGGGGATGGATTATAATTACATAGCTCCTTAAGAGAGTGATTCAGTAATAAAACTGAACAAAAAAAAATGCAGATTCTAACAGTGCTGTAGTGTCTTAGCACATTTACAGATGTGGGGCAGGGATGGGAAGGAACCCAGGGATAGCAAGAGGCATCTTTAGATCAACTGCAACGAGGCGCCACTGAGGTGCCTTTCAAATGAATTCCAAATTGTTTTCTGCGTCAGCAGCTGCCCGGCTGCAAACTACTGTCTGGATGAGCTGCGATTAGCTTTCATGTGTGACTGTAGATCCTGGTTCTCAGCAGGCCACAGGCTGCAGCCCAGAAAACCCCCAGAATCCAGTCCATCCAGAAATACCAGCTCCTGTGGGACCGAGAGTAAAATACGGCCCAAGAGCAGCTTTGGGAAGTTCTCTTGTCTGTGTCTTTCAGACGGTCTGGAGTGGAGACAAGTAAAGTAAAAGGCCACGTTAATATCTGCTTGAAGTCGATTACCTTCTTTCACCAAATTTCTGTGTCAAATATGGATGTTATCACACCAAGATCACATCTGGGGGACACAAGCCCCCACAGGAGTGTCTTTATGAAAGCTAAGGATGAAGATTTTTCCAATGGGTCCATATTGTTCTGATTCCTTTTCTCGGTGATATTTCTTTTTAGTAAATATTTAAAAGAATGAAATGTGATTCTTTATAATTAAGCCTCACAAGGATTGTTCAGAAAACCAGAGGAATTTGTAATAACCCATGGACATTTCCCCTCAGTTTTTCCTTGGAATGTGTATTGGAAGGTGTTTCATTTTACACACATTTTGTTGGAAATGTGTATTGGCAGGTATTGGACATTCTCACAAAGTAGTATCTAGGATCTCTGCTGCATGAAGTTTGAAATATGAAAATAATTCTATCTTCTGAATGATTAATTCAAAATGAGAAGAAAAAAATTCCAAGGTTAGCTAGGAAAAGGATTTTACTAATTTATTTACTTTTTTTTTAAATGAAGACAATTGACACCCATGCAGCTGAGTGCAAAGGTTTCTTTAGCAAAGATATTATTTTCTGCAAATGATGTATGCCTCCAAATCAGCTGGCTCGTCTATGGACAGTTGATGAATTTTGGGTTGATTTTGTTGAGTGCACAGATAGCTTTTATCTCTATTTTGTTTGCATTCTAGTCATATTAAAGAAGCTGTAGGCTGTTTACCTGTACATTTTGGTTTAAAAAATTCATGTGCTATAACAAGGCTAACTTTTTCCAACAGAGACTTCAATGTCATTGTCTCTCCACAGTACTGGACAGAAATGTATTTACAGTCATAATTATTGTTAAATAGTTAAAATCATTGGCAACAGGCTTGATAGTTTCAACTTCTTATATTTTTACTGATGCTTCAAAAGATTTTAGAAGTTGGTCTGCCTTAAAATTTATTTTAACTTAAAATGTCAGCTTTCTAAATTGTTCTGAAGGTCATATAACTTTCAACAATGGCTAGATTTTATGGTATGGGCCCATTTCCAAAATCTTAAAGAATTATAACTTGTGATTCCATGTTCACACATTCTAAATCAAATTAGTCTTTTATAAAAAATTGAATGTGAGCTCTTTTTCCTTGTAATTTTTTTGTTGAAATTGCTCAGGGCTGCTGTGTTAATTCCCAAAATGTGAGTCAGGAATGCCCAGCTCTGGTACACAGCACATGCTGAAATTTCCTCCCTAAGCACACGCAAATGGTTCCAGGTCTCAAGCATTTGGAAACATATGAAGGCTTTCAAGGATGTTTTTGCAACTTTAAAATGTATTAGGATCCATTTGTTTCCCTATTAATTGGGTAATTCTGTGTGTTTTCTGAATGATTAATTCAAAATGAGAAGAAAAAAATTCCAAGGTTAGCTAGGAAAAGGATTTTACTAATTTATTTACTTTTTTTTTAAATGAAGACAATTGACACCCATGCAGCTGAGTGCAAAGGTTTCTTTAGCAAAGATATTATTTTCTGCAAATGATGTATGCCTCCAAATCAGCTGGCTCGTCTATGGACAGTTGATGAATTTTGGGTTGATTTTGTTGAGTGCACAGATAGCTTTTATCTCTATTTTGTTTGCATTCTAGTCATATTAAAGAAGCTGTAGGCTGTTTACCTGTACATTTTGGTTTAAAAAATTCATGTGCTATAACAAGGCTAACTTTTTCCAACAGAGACTTCAATGTCATTGTCTCTCCACAGTACTGGACAGAAATGTATTTACAGTCATAATTATTGTTAAATAGTTAAAATCATTGGCAACAGGCTTGATAGTTTCAACTTCTTATATTTTTACTGATGCTTCAAAAGATTTTAGAAGTTGGTCTGCCTTAAAATTTATTTTAACTTAAAATGTCAGCTTTCTAAATTGTTCTGAAGGTCATATAACTTTCAACAATGGCTAGATTTTATGGTATGGGCCCATTTCCAAAATCTTAAAGAATTATAACTTGTGATTCCATGTTCACACGTTCTAAATCAAATTAGTCTTTTATAAAAAATTGAATGTGAGCTCTTTTTCCTTGTAATTTTTTTGTTGAAATTGCTCAGGGCTGCTGTGTTAATTCCCAAAATGTGAGTCAGGAATGCCCAGCTCTGGTACACAGCACATGCTGAAATTTCCTCCCTAAGCACACGCAAATGGTTCCAGGTCTCAAGCATTTGGAAACATATGAAGGCTTTCAAGGATGTTTTTGCAACTTTAAAATGTATTAGGATCCATTTGTTTCCCTATTAATTGGGTAATTCTGTGTGTTTCTCTGTGTGTGTATTTGTGGGAAAGATATAAGAGGAAAAGTTTTTTTTGTTCATTTTTACTTAAGCCAGAAAGTGGAGCAGGTTTGAATTCTGTTGTATGTATTCATTTTCTCGTCTGCCTAAGATACACCAACTAACAAAAACTTGCAGAGAATTAGCTTTCTTTGGGCTGCAGAAGTATTCTCAGAAACATTAAGGCATACTCCCCACCCTGCCCTGAGCATCTCATTTGCTATTTCCTTCAGTTTAGTGAAAGTCCCTACAAACTGCAGGCATGTGAGAGTATTCCTACAGTCTGTCACTGGTCTCCCCAAAGCTGAGAGCCCCCACGCTGGACCTGGAGTAGGTGAGTAATAAACCAAGACAGAACTTTGGATTTATTCTTTAGAAGCATTAGGACTATATTGCACACCTTTTTCTTTGGGTCATTTTCATTTTTATTGGTCTTTTCTTTTTCATGGAAGAATGTGGGAAATCTCAGTGCACGGAGCCCCGTACCACGTGACCACCAGAAAGCTTTCCTCCAGAACGCTGCTACCAGGGGCCTTTTCCCAGTGTGATTACGTCTGGACTATCTGACTCTCCTGTAAGTTGCTTGATATATTTGCTAAGTTCATTATATTGAGTTTACCTATAAATGAACAGAAATAGAATAAAAT